TGCTTACAGAACAAGTGATCATCCAAGCTTCCATGAGACATGTACTCATAAACCAAGAGCCTCTCACATCCCTCTGCACAGTAGCCGATTAAGCTGACAAGATTGGGATGATGCAGCATTGTTAACATCAGAACCTCCACAAGAAATTCATTGCTCCCCTGAAGCCCATCTCGATTAAGCTGCTTGATTGCCACAACCTATTAATCAAAAGTTCAAAAAACAGCAGAAACAATCCATTAAGAATAAAACCCCATATATTAACCATGCAATTTCAATGAAAACAATAGACAAAATGGTGAAAAATTGCCTCGTTATTCTCAAGAACCCCCTTAAAAACCCTCCCAAAGCCACCTTCTCCAATCAGATTGGTCTCCCTAAAGTTCTTTGTAGCTGCTGCAAGTTGTTCCAAGGTAAAACTGCGGGCACCATTTGATTTCTCCCCTTTTGGGGATAAACGATTCGCTTCATTCTCTGCAACAACAAACCAACCCAAACCAAGCTCAAATATTCGAAAAGAAATTCGCACAAATTAACCATTTCCTCACTCAATTTTGTTTTTACCCAATTTATCAACAATGTGAGATAAGGATGATGAACGAGCAAGTGCAGAGCTCGCAATCCTGGAACCCATCCGCTTTCTAAGCTCCCTGTGGCGGGAGCTTACACAAGAGAAGCAACTCATTTTCTTCGATGTAACCCTAATTGAACAATAGATTTCACTGTAAATTGTTCCGAATTCCCCCTCGCACCATTGGGAAGGGGGAAAACGACCAACAGCCACAAGAAAGCATGATAAATTTAATGGAAAAGAATCGGAAAGGCAAAATTATGTGTCCTCGAAAGATGCAAAATCGTAGAAAATTGGACGAATATGCGATGGATTATATATTTTTAGAAGAGAAGATGGGAGAATAGGGCCGGAATTGGGAAAGTTCGGTTAACAGAAATTGCTAAAATAAGAAGGGCGGTGAGGAGGAGGAGAGAGAGAGCTGGAGAGTAAAAGCTTTTGAAAACTATTTTCCGGAGAGGAGAGAGAAAGCTTCTCACATTGTTTTTTTGCCGCCTCGGAGTCTCTGCTTTTAGCAGAAGATGGACTCTGCGCCACCTTGCCGCCATCGAAGAAGATGAAGGGGGAGGAGAATGTATCCATGAAATCTCCCTCTCTCGCTCTCTCTCTCTCTCAAGATATAAATTTATTAGATTTAATTTTTAAGAAATTAAAAAATATATTTAATTATTCATAGATTTCATTTGCCTTGAAATAAATTGATGATTTTTTAACATTTATTTTCCTATTTTTTAATCGTAATTATATATATTAATATGAAAAATTACATGACTGGTTCAAATATAAAAAAAAA